TACCGCTTCATAGGGCTTTCAGCCCCTCTCTAAGCGGTTTACAGAGTCAGCAACTTGCCCCCACAGTCTGGGGCCTCATGTCACCCACCACGGAGGGATGGAAGGCTGAATCAACCTTGAGCCGGTGAGATTTGAACCGCTGAACTGCAGATCACAGTCAGCTGAAGTGGTCTGCAGTACTGCACCCTAACCACTGCGCCACCTCGGTTCTTTATACAGGTATTAGACATACCTTGCTCTCCTGGTAAAAATAACTAAGTTCCGGTGGGTCCTTGTGTCGGGGTGGGATGTAGCTGAAGGCTGACTGTGCGGAGAGTGGAAGCTGGTGTTTCCTTATTAGTGCCTCATTGACCCCTTCCAATTCTCCCAACACTTCCTCTTCCTCCGGTTCTTTCCCATTCTGGTCTCCTTGCATTCCCCCCGTGAAGGCCAGCGTTCAGCTGAGTGGCAGGCTGGATTGCTTTGCATTCCCTACTAATCTCCCACCTAGCACCAGCTGGTGCATTTGCAGAGTTCTTTGGTTACTAAGAGACCATCTGAATAAACTATGATGTCAAATCGTGTACAAGGAGGTTGGAAGTTTGAGAAAAGCTGTGGCTAGGGGAAACAAAGCCCAGGCTGCTCTCACATACTGCTATGTGAAATCTGTTCGACAAATAAAGTGTCTGTGAAGTCACTGTATATGTCAGCAGGAATTTATCTTGAGAAATACAGGGATAGTGGACAGGATTCAAAGAGGTAAGGCTATGATTCTGAATGAAGTCATCCCGCAGTGTCTTCCTGATGACGGTATGTGTTTCTTGAAACATGAGACACCTTTGTCAGCCCCATATAGATATCACAGAATCTAAGTGGAGGTGTTGATATCAAAGAGCCTAAAGGGGGAATTAGTTACTTTCCCACTGGCAGATAGACAAAAGGTCCTTGAACAATGAGTTCAGAAGCATGAATGATTTAACGTCAGGAGAGCTGTTACTGATACCTGCATGGCAAACAGACTAATAGGAGCCTCATCAAATGTGTCTCATTAGTAGCTGTTAATCAAAGGCACTGACAAGAAAGAATCATGTAACCGAACTTTTGGTACTTATCCATTCCTTGAAGGAATTTATCCTAGGACACAGCGCTACTTGAGAATTTTTCATTTCAGATCACGTACCATACTATATAGTTGCAAAGATAAGGCTGAAAAGATAACAACACTGCCCGATGGAACTGCAGGAGTGCAAGCAAAACAGGATTTTAGGATTGAGAAATGTCATTATTCTGCCAGATTTCTGCTGCCAGCATCTAATAGTAAAAGCAGATTAAATTATGGCAAAATGGTAAATAGATTTCTGTTGTGGCCCAGGAGGAGCCGTTGGAGCTGCCACCAGACTCCAACAGCGAGGGGCCCTATGAGTTGGCTCTGGAGGATGTTGAGGACCCTGGACAGGGTTCCGACTCCGAGCAGGGCGCAGAGA